CGAAGGAGCCGTACAGCGTGCTCTGGTCCCACTTCCGGCTGCAAAGGTGACAGGGAAAATCGATGTCACAATCTTCACTTGGCAGACTTCCCTTGCGCGTTCATATCCCCCTTCCCCCTGATCACCCTCCAGAGAGACAGAGAGAAAAAGAAAAAGAGACCTAAAGAGAGCCAGAGGATGGACAAAACTTTGGTGGGCAAAGAGGATGTAAAAGTCAGAGCTTCCGGAGCGTGTGAGAGATTCAGGGGTTCTGAAGCTTATAGATTGAGATTGAGGAGACTTAGAGTAGGGGGCTGGGATAACAAGCGACTGAGAGCAGTAGGGACGAAGAAAGAGAGGCTGAACGACTGATAGGAAGGCAAGAGTTAAAGATAGAGAGAAAGATATACATATATATATGTGAAAAGAGCGAGAAAAAAGAGAGAGCGATAATGAGAGAGAGACTAACAAAAATACGTAGACTAAGCGGGGAAAGAAGAGGGCACGGCGAAAATAAGAGCAGCATCAGCACAGGAGGAGGAATGAGCAGGCTGGGGTTGGGAAGAGGAACACACGCCGTTCATGCAAGTTGGCACCGCAGAGCCCCCACGTGACAGTGTCCCGCAGGGCCATGTGGAGCTCCGTGGTCGTCTAGGAGTAAGCTGCCAGGAGCAGGAAGACGCAAAGCGAGCACCCACATCAGATCTGGCCAGAAGACCCTCGGCACTGGGATCGGTGCATATCGGGCCGAAAGGGGGGGATAGCAAAGGGGGGGTTGAGAGTCAGCTCGCGTAGCTGGTTTCCCCGGCGCCTCCCGGCGCCGGGAGGCGCCCATGTATCGAGGAATGGGCCCGGCGGCGGGGCCGAAACCAGCTGCACGCAGCAGATTTCGCAACACCCACTTTCCCTATGCCCCCCTTTCGTTCGGCCCGACACCTCAGATCTGGCCACAACACCTTGGCCCTGGGATCGGTGCACAGACCCTCCAGGCCATTGGCCAGGCCACGAGAGATCACACACCAACGCCGGGCCCAGGACGGACCTCGCCGGGCTCGGCGCGGATGCATCGGAGGCCGGGCACGAAGGAACCGCAGCGCCACTGCCGAAGAGAGCGGCGGCGGCCTGTGGTAGTACTCGGCGTACAGGCGTTGGGCCGGGTCGCAGAGGGAGAAGATGACCTCTCGGAAAGGACGGGAGTGAAGGTGGGGATGATGAGCGGCTGCGGCAGACTCGTGTCGTGACGGCATGGCCGCTGGTTATTGACACCGCGTGGACCGTTCAAACCTTGAGCGATCGCGGCTTTCTGATGGCGAGGCTCGTTCAATGTCGGACGGTCCCAGGCCACGGGCGGCGTTCAACCTTGGACGCCCGCTCCAGGGACGCCGCCGCATCAACGCGGCGCGACCCCACACTAACTGCGAGTCACGGTTCTTGCTAGCGGCGTTCGAACCGTGTTGTTCCGATGGGTACAGCAGGGGCGACCAGTAAGGTAAGAAGAGGGAAAACGGTGGATGAGGATGTCGTGTCGGAGCCACGCCACCGCATTGAGCGACACTAGGTTCGAAGGCTGGGAGAACCAGATAGGCCACAACCCGCTGGGGAAAGAAAGGCAGGTAGACAGGTAGACAGTAACAATTAAAGATGGAGTGGTAAGAGTGAGAGTGATAGAAAAGAAAAGATAAAAAAAAAAAAAAAAAAAAAAAAAAAAAAAAAAAAAAAAAAAAAAAAAAAAAAAAAAAAAAAATGGAGTGGTAAGAGTGAGAGTGATAGAAAAGAAAAGATAAAAAAAGAGAGAGATATAGAGAGAAAGAAAGAGCGCGTCGCACCATAAGAACAAGTACTAAACAGAATGTGTGGAAAGCCCTTTCGCGTACAGAGATCCAAAGCAAGCCCCGCCCCCTCCAGTCAGTGGAATGTTTTGCTTGTGAGCATTTGCAACCAGACCGCAGCGACGGAGACGGTGCGGGCGGCGGCGGCGACGACGCCGCTAGCGGCAACAACGACGGCGACGGCGACAGTGGCGACGACGACGACAAAAGCAACGACGACCACGATGGCCTCGGCGAAGGTGGCGACGTTGGTGGCGCGGGCGGCGACGACGTCGCTTGCAAAGGCGCCGAAGATGACGCAAGCGGCGACGACGACTGCGACGCTGGCGACAACGACGGTGGCGATGGCGACGGCACTGACGAAGGCGACAGTGGTGACGGCGACGGCGGCGTCGGCGACGACCGCGGCGGCGACTGCGAGAGCGACAGCGGCGACGGCAGCGGCGACGGCGACGACCCCGGCGGCGCAATGCAATGCAGAGCGATGCAGAGCGATGCAAAGCGATGCAGAGCGATGCAGAGCGATGCAGAGCAACGCAATGCGACGCAAAACAAATCAACGCGATATATGAAGCAACGCAAAGCACTGCAAAGTGCGAGCCTCGCAGCCCAAGTCGTGACCAACGACGTGCGGCGACGGGCGGCGACGGGCGGCCACGAGCCGGCCAGACCGAGGACCACGCCCACCGAAGACGGCGGCGACGGGTGGCGGCGGGCGGCCACGAGCTGGCTGGACCGACGCCCAGGCCCAAAATCTTCAGATTATCCCAGTGCGACCCTACCAAGGAGTTGGAGCATTTAGGAAAGCAGCATCTACATCTACACCGACAGCTACATTTACATCTACACCTGCATCTATGCTATGCTATACTATGCTATGCTGCGCTATGCTATGCCCAGGCCCAAGTCTTCAGAAAAGAAAAGCAAGAACTCCTAGGTGCAAGCACTGCCAAAAGAGGCGCCGCAACGACGCCACGCTTGTGGCTTCCAGAATACAGACAGGGAGGGGGAGGGGAGGGGAAGGGAGGGGAAGGGAGGGCGCGGGTAGCGGGGGGGCTCGCATTGTTATAACCCCTCGTTAGCAAAAGGGCTAAGGACGCAGCGAAGATCGAAGCGTGAACACCACCCTGGGAATACCGCGATACATACACGTGCGTGCCAAAATTCAACCATTGTCCATTGACTGTGATACCGCCCTGAGGGGCGGACCCGCACCTTGGCGTGAGGCAGCAGTCTTCTGGCATGTGTAACCACATCGGGGAAGAGGTGCGTGTCCAAGTCCGCATGCGTCTCTTTGGAGACGCCCATGGGTGAACAACCACACGAAAGAGGCAAGGGCGCGAAGGCATCGAAGACGAAATATGATGTACGAAACAATGTATATCCACCACCTGGCCTCGAGGCACGAAGTGGAGTATTACCCAGGCTTCTGGAGCTCTCTGTACTAAGTATTCAATGTTGAAATATTCTAATTAGGGGCAGGGAGCCCATCGGGCCAATGCTTCTTGGCGGTCTCGCACTTTCTCGGGCTTCCTCGGATTACTTGTGCAAAAGGCTAGAGGGCCCGAGATGGCCCAATAGGGCCACAAGAAGCGCCCAAGAGGGCGCAAGAGGCCTCGGAGACGGCCCGACAGCGCCCCAAGAAACCCAAGCTGGCCCACAAACGACCCAAATGACCCCCAAGACGCCGCAAAAAGGCTCGCAAAGGCCACCCAAGAGGGCCCTGAGATGCCAAAACCATAAACATGTTCTGTAGGTGTTTTTGCCATGCCCGGCTTTCAACGCTCTCCAAAAAGGCCTCCAATCTCGCCCCACGACGGCCCAAGAGGCCCCTAAGAGCGATCTAGAGCTCCAAGAGGGGCCCAAGAGAGGCCCCAGAGGGGGAGCACGCACTGGCATCCCGAGCCCTTCGCCCCAAGATGGACCCCGAGACCGCCAGCTGGCCTGCAAGACGGCCCCCCAAGGGGCCCAAACCAAGCCCCAAAAGACCCCCGACAGGCCCCCAAGGCACCCCAAAACCGAATCCGAAAGTCCTCCGAAAGGCCTCCTAGGAGATCCCCAAAAGCATCCCAGAGGCCTCTGACCTACAACCCAAGCTCGGTGGCGGAATGGGCCGAAGGCCACTAGATGCGTAGCTAGACATGCACATATCTATAGATACACATACATACATACACACACATGCATACATACATACATGCATACCTACCTACCTACCTACCCACCTACCTACATACCTACCTACCTACCTATCTACATACATACATACATACATACATACATACGTACGTACGTACGTACATACATACATACATACATACATACATACATACATGCATGCATACATACATACATACATACATACCTACATACATACCTACATACATACATACATGCATACATACATAGATACATACATACATACATATGCAGACATGCGTACATGCATACATACGTACATGCATGCATGCGTGCGTGCACGGATGCATACATACATACATGCATACATGCATGCATACATGCATACGTATGTACAGACACGCTTACATACACATATACATGCATGCATACATGCATACATGCATACATGCATACATGCATACATGCATGCATGCATGCATACATGCATACATGCATACATGCATGCATGCATGCATGCATGCATCCATACCGACATACGTGCAGACCTACGTGTATACAGGTGTAAAAGCCATAAGCATGCATATATATATATATATACGGGTCTATGTTTGGTTGCATCTACATACATACGTACATTTAAACAAACAGAAAAAAAAGCAAGCACACATGCATACATACATACATGCACGCGCGCAAACATACATGCATACATATACAAACATAAAAATTGGCATGCCTGCATACATACGCACATACCTACATACATGCAGACAGACATTCATACGAACACATGTATGCATACATGCATGCATGCATACATACCTACATACATACATATATGCATACATACATACATACATGCATGCATACAGACAGACAGACAGGCAGACAGACATACATACATACAACCAGACACGTAAAACATGACTTCATGTGCCGAACAACGCGCGAGGCGAAGCAAGCGATGAAGCTGAATGCGCGCACACACCTCTGCACAGGCGTGGTTGGGCACAGGGGCGCAAGCTGTACAAAAGGACGGCTTAGGGACGGCTAGCGTTGTGTCCAGCCGACGACCCCGCCATCGGCCAGTCGCGCTGGGCCACGGGCAATCGCGCGAGAAGCCGAGGCGTCGAGCGCTACGACGTTCGAGCTTGTCTGCTTCGCCCAGACGTGAGACGTCGGAACTGCACACAGGTTGAAAATCAGACGGCCTGGAGAGGATCTGCTGCCAGCACGCCGGGCGACGGCCATCACATAGGCGCGACTGGAGACGCGGGATGCTGCCAAAAGAGGCGCGGCAAACAGGGCAAAGGCCTTCCCCGCTCGCGAAAAGGAGCTGCTGACAGCAAACTTGGCGGCTGATGCGCACGCGCTGCGCGCGAGCCTTCTTGGAGGCAAATGATGCGTCGCACACGGTGCACTTGAACGACCTGGCGACGGACATATCTGGAGGCACGGAGGCGGGAGCGTCGCAAACCCTTTCAGCGCGCCCAATCGCGTGCACCACCCCTCCCCCTGGGGCCACAACCCCTTGCAAAAAAGACCGGCTCGCGCTCCCGAGGCCCATATGCCTTCAAGCGATTCTCTCAAGATAGCCCAATATCGCTCCAAGACGGGCCACTTCTGCGACTGGTCAAATGATCGCTATAATCTAACACATGTGATACCTTATCCTCTTCTCCTAGCCCAGTGGACCTTTTCGCAAAGATCTTCCGGGCGAAACATCCCTCGGAGCTGACGGGCGACATGGTGGCGCGCACCGCACCTTCTTACCCGCTGCGAAACGCAGACGGCGCTCCACAACACACAGCCAAGAAGGGTCGAGGCCTAGATCCAAACGCCTGCAACGGCAGGCGGACGGGGGCTGAAAAGGACGGAGAGGTCGATGGCAACGACCACCCCCCGCGGCGGGCAACGGAGATGCCTCGCCACGCTTGCCAGCCCGCAGCACGCCGGGTCAAAGCGCGCCAACTCCTGCTGCAGAGGCGAAGCTCGATTTATTCGACGGACGGACCCCTCATTGATCCGCCAGGCACGCGGGGCGCCTCAGCGCTGATCGCACAGCCAGGCTCTCATCCCGCGGCTCGCAACGACCTCGCTTATCCTCGCCGGGCCGCCTTTGTCCCTCTTGCCCCACTTCTTGTCGGAGGCCTCATTCGGTGACGACTTGTCCGAATCACCTCTTCACACGTTTGCTCGCCACTGGTTGCTCCCTGAGTCCCAGTCGCCGCCGCAGGCACTGCTTTACCGTCATCATTCCAGCAATTCGTGCTCATCACTTCCCCAAATGATAGTGGGATGAAGAAACGAAACGATCCAGATCCCCGCGCCTCCGTCCTTACGACCACCACGTCCCTTTCCATGTTCATAGGAGTGGTACTTTCCGGCGGGGGCACCATCAATTTCGCCACGCGGCCGAACCTTTCTCTTCCAACCCCCCTTGGAGGAGCGGCCGGATCGCACAACGTCAGGTTTCGTCTTTTCACTCCACCGGAATCCGGGCCTGGTCCCCGACCGACCGATTTGCAAGCCGACGATGCAATTGCAGCATGTTCCGTTACATTTTGAGTATTCAATTCTGGATAACTCCTGATCATCCAGAGAGCGTTCGTGGCGTACCAATTGCAATGCATCTCGATTGATATATATAGATATATATCGACTGCTATATATATATATATATATATATATTCTGGAACACACACACACACAAAAAAGGCGCGTCCTTTATCTACGAGAATCAGTGAAGCCCCGCCTTTTCCGAGGATTGCAAGGGCTCCTTTCATGAAAGCCCAAGACGGAAGCAGAATATCGGATTTGAATCCTTCGATGGAAAGACATGAAAATCGGGACCATGAGGGACGCAGCCTCCATAGCGCACATGAACGTCCGCATCTCATCGTCGCGCCATTTGCACGCCAAGCAACGCAATTACCGAACACGTTGTCGATCTCCTCGTTGCTAGTCATGGACGCAAGGTCTGCACATCGACGGGACGCATTGATCACTACACGGGAAATTTCCCGTGCGAGCCACCCCTTATTGCATGCATGGATGCCAAAATACATGCTCTTCTCCCCTGGGACGTCCCATTCACCCTTCGCAATTATCTGGAGTCTGGAACTCCCCCTTTCCGGTGGCACTCTCCGACAAGTGCCAGTTCGTCAATGTCGGAATCGAGAATTCACCACCAAACAGCGCATCACCGCCGATTGTTTCCGCGGCCGCCCCCTTTTCCGCAATGGATTCCATCATAGTTCATTCCTGGGCAGGCCAATGGCCAGTAACACGGGGTGAATATCACACTTCCGCAATGAGCAACGCGCATGTTGCTGCTAATCGCAACTGTTTCTCGGCCAAGTTTTGTTTCCATGCCTCTTCGAGTGTATGATGATAGCGGCTTTCGTTGAGATGGAAGACAGCTTCCGTACCCTTCGCCAAACGCAGAAAGTGCCCTCGTTTCTTTAGCTTCGCATGCTTGGCCAACTGACAGACATTGTCAAAACTTAAATCGACTCCGTTTTGTTGGCCCATTCCTCCCAACCGCTGCCCAGGTCAGCATCCCCGGCTCTCTCGGGACCAGAAACGTCCGTGTCAAAGACATTCGGGCACCCGAAATGCAACGCATGTGGATTCGGACCGACCAAAGAACAAAGTTCCCGATACCAGATGATCATCTCTACCGCATTGCCGCGGTGAAGATTCAGCATGGTTTACATACGCTTTGGATATGTTGACATTTTTGTCAATCCTCTTCATAAGCGGCAGAGAACAGGCCACTGGCTTGCACTGCTCGATACGAAGCCATGGTGGGATAGTCCGACCCATCTAACACACGCACACACACAAACAAAAAAAAAACACGCGTTGTCAGTCAGCGGCGCACAGGGTCCTCAAGCGCGAGCAGCAGATGAAAGTGCTAACTGCGATCGAGCATTGTTGAAGGCGCAGAGTACGAAACGTCGCATGCTGCAAAATGTAAGCGATGTGTATGTTAAAGAAACTCTAAATCCAAACGGGAGATGCAGCGGACAGAAAACGAGAAGAATACTCAACTCAAAGTGAACTGAAGCGCGATGGCCAGGTGCAGATTGGCGGCCACTGAATCACCAGAGCGGTGTTAGACAGTGAAGCGCAAGGGAATAAATGCTGCAACCCACACACAAACGCTGGACACAACGTCGTCCCTGACGAGGCTGCGGGTTGTGTCAAGTTAGTGTGAAAGTTGGGGCTCCAGGCCTCTAGAGACCAGCCTGGGAGGGCCCGAAGTGGCGCCAGGGGAGCTCCAAGAGCGGCCCAAGAGACCCAACCACTTAACACAAATCTAACACAACACTGTCCTCGACGAGGAGACGAATTTTGTTTAAATTGTATTAAGTTCGGGGCCCTCTTGGGGCCGTCTCGGGGCTCCCTTGGGCCCTCTTGGGTCCCTGTAGGGCCGTCTTGGGGCCCAATTGGGGGCCTCTTGGGCCGTCTTGGGGAAGTATTGGGGGCCTCGTGGGACGTCGTGGAGCGCCGGAAGCCCGAAAAGGTGAGAACCTCCAGAACATTGAAAACACCGCGAAAAAACAATGGTGTTTGCCTCGTGGGGCCCTCTGGGAAGCGTTCGTCGAGTCCTCTTGGGCCGTCTGGGGGCATCTTGGGACGGAAGACTCGCGTTGTCCTTTCTAGCTCCTGCTCTTGGGCCCTTCTTGGGGCCGTCTTGAGGCCCTCTTGGGGCCGTCTTTGGCGCCTCTATGGGCGTCTTGGGGTCCTCTTGGACCGTCTTGGAGACCTCTTGAGGCTCTTGGGCCGTCTTGGGGAAGTATTGGGAGCCTCGTGGGACGTCGTGGAGCGCCGAAGCTCGAAAAGATGAGAAGCTCCAAAACATTGAAGAACCCCACAGAAAATCAATGGTTTTTGCCTCTTGGGGCCCTCCGGGGAGCGTTCCTCGATTCATCTTGGGCCTTCTGGGGCATCTCGGGACGGAAGGCTCGCATTGTCCTTTCGGGCTCCTGCTCTTGGGCCCCTCTTGGGGCCGTCGTGGGGCACTCTGAGGCCGTCTTGGGGCCCTCTTGGGCCGTCTTGGGGCCCTCTTGGCTCATCTTTGGGCCCTCTTAGGGGCCTCGTGGGCCGTTTTGAGGCGGTTTGGGGGGACTCTTGGGACGTCGTGGCGTCGGAAGCTCGAAAATCGAGAACCCCAAGAACATGGAGAAACCTGCGAATCATCAATGTTTCTGGCCCCTCGGGGCCCTCTGGGGAGCGGTCGTCGGATTCTCTCGGGCCGTCTTGAAGTTATCGACATCTGGAAACCTTCTGGTGTCTCTGTGATGCCACTTAAGGCCGTCTGGCCGGCTCTCGGGCCTCTGGAGAGAGTGCCCGGGGAGCCCGGAGCCCCCATGGCGAGTCGGGGCAGCTGGGAGAAGGCCCCTGACCCTGTACCCTTATCAATCTATGATATGAAAATGTATGCATATATACATATATGTATGTATACAAATATATGGGTACGTATGCATCTATAGTTGCATGCATGCATGCATGCATGCATGCATGCATGCATGTATATATATATGTATATATGTGTGTGTGCGTATGTGTGCTACGTGTGGGTGGATAGGTGTATATAATGTGTGTATATGTGTGTAACTGTGTATGGTCATGTACGTATGTATATGCAGATTGCATGCATATGTATGTGCATATGTAAAAATGCATGCGTATGTATACGAATATGTACATACATGTATATGCATATGTACACTTATATGTATATGTATATGTGTATGCATATGTGTATGTATACGCACATGATGGGTATATGTATATGTAGATGTATGTATACATGTATATGCATATGTATATGCATATGTATGCGTATGTGTATATATACACATGTGTGTAGGTGTGTATATGTGTATGTATATGTGCATGGACGCGCATGCGTATGTGTTTATGTGATTGTGTGTATATGTGTATATACATGTATGGAGATGCGAATGTCTGTGTACATATATATAGATATGTATGTATGCATGCATAAATATATATGAGCAAACGTGTATGTATATGTGTGTAAATGTCTATGGATATGCATATGTGTATGTACATGTGTATGTAGATGTGTATATGTATATGCATGCGTAAATGCGTATGTGCGTGCATGTGTGTATGTATATGTATATGGATGTGCATGTGCAAATGTATGCGCATGTGTGTATGCGTATGTATAGGTAGGCGTACAAATGTATGTTTATGTACATGTGTTTGTATACGGAAGTGGATATGCATATGTATATGTATATGCGTATGTACATGTGAATGTATGTATGTGTGCACATACATATGTACATATACATGTATGTGTATATGTATGTGTGCATGTGTGTTTATATACACATTTCTGTGCCACTAACACACACACATATAAGCATATACCCTACATACATATATATATATATATATGTAGATATGTATAGATAGATACTTATGCACATGCATACAGATGTACAGCTATACGGACGGACAGACAGATAGACATGCACATACGTATATATATATGTATGATGTATGTATCCATGTCTGGACATGTGAGACTGCATGTTCCAAATTCGCTTGCCTTGGAAAATTCCCAAAATTGAGCTTCCGAAACCGGCGACCCCCCCACAACACAAAAAAAAAAAAAAAACATCTGGAGGTCCCCTCCGAAACCAGGGGAACCCCCCGCCCCACTACGCCCCATCTGTCTGGAGGGGGAGGGGGGGGGATGTATTAAAGCGCCCATGATGGGTTAAGATGACTCCAAGATGCCACAAGAGAACCTGATAATATCCTGCGGCCTGCCTCCAACAGGCTCCGAAACTGCCCCAAGACGATACCAAGTGGCCACCCAGCCTCCCAACCCCAAGAGGCCAGAGTTCTTAACAGAAGCAGGAACAAAAGTCGTGCTTCAGTGAAGCGGTCCTTCTCGCGTTTTCGCTCCCGACGGACGTTTCTGATGCGCCGAGATGTCTCCGATATCGCCGAAGAGGGCCCCAAGGAGAGGACCACGAAGACTCCAAGACGGCCCCCAGAGTGCCTCAAGGAGCGCCCCGAGGAGCGCCCCCAGGAGCGCCCCAAACGGGCGACGTGTCAGCCTCCGCCGGGGAGACGCCGGCTTCGGAGCCCCCCCACCCCTTTTACACCAGGAGGACTTCAAGGAGGTTCTCAGAGGCCCTTTCCTCATCAAGAGAACTTCAAGTTTGGACCTCCCCCCATTTTCATCGGGAGGAGTTGTTCCCAGAAGCATCCAAATTCACCGTTGTTGGCTTCTCTGTCTCATTACGTGTACTTCCTTTCTCCCGACAGCTCGTCTGCGCATCGGCTCTGGTGGGGACACGAGACGCCTCAAGAATCTGTCTGGCAGAGCACCCCCTATACTGAGAAAATCAGCTGAAGCCAAACACTGCAAACCCCATCGCCCTCGCCCTCCCTAGTTCTCCCAATCCCATGATCCCCCCCTGCGCTCCCAGGCAGCCCCATGTTGGACCTGGCGGGCTCCAGGACACACCCTCGGGCCCCCGTTGACCCCGCCCCCGGAAAAATGCCACGCGCGAGCCCAGAACCTGCCCCCACCCTCTCGCGCGCGAGGGACCGGCCGAGAGGCTCCACGAATACGACGGCGACTTGTCCACGGTTATGTTGTGGACCCCGTCCACCCGGGGCAGCTGCCGCGCCAGCAAATACCGGCCCTCGTCACCCTGTGGAGCGCGCGGAGATGTACCGGGAGAGGGACGCGGGGGACGGCGCGAGCTGAGACGAAGGCTGCAGGCTAGAAAGAACGGCACATCGCCTGCCAGCACGGAGGCCTCCTCCGACAGTAACGGCCTCCCCCGTGCCCTCCTCCGTTTCCTCTTCCTGCGCCGCCCCCCCTCCTCCTCCTCCAACATGACGCCCGCCCACGCCATCGAACACATTGTCGACGTCACGAAGCAAAGTGGGATTACCTTCTCATGCAGACTACGCCTGCGACTGCAGCTAAGAGAATGGCGCGTTGAGTTGCTGAATTAGCTTTCAGGGCATGCAATCTGAAGAATGCCCGCCGAATATTATTTCTGAATAACGCACCGGGCAGATTGTGAACAGCACAAGGCTGGCGCGCTAAAGTTGAAACAGACAGAACGAACAACTCATAATGCCCCATCAAGATCAAGCCGAGCTCACGACACATGCGACTCCCTAGAAATCGTAATCAACACACACACGCAATAGGTGCAAGGTTCACTCCATTTCACCTTCAATATTGACTCGGGCGCTGCTCGAGAGGAAGAAAGGAGGAGGGGACAGCGAAGACGAGGGGGAGAGAACAGGAGAGGGCGAGGAAGTAGATGAGGTGAAGCAAAGGGGTGAGGTGGAGGATACTGGATAACTACCTCTTGCCGAGCCTGCTAAGAGCCTCTCCGCTGGACCTGCAGCCTCTCAGCGTAAGGTCCGCTGGAGACGTCATCGAAACTCGACTCCGCATCGGTGATCCTGGCGACGATATCGAAGGCGTACATGACATGCCCGCGCACAGTAATCATGCTGACGCATACAGTCGGACTCGATTGGACAGGACACACGAGAGGACACAAGACCCCTCCAAGGGCCACATTGCCACAGGAATGTAGGAAGCATGGGTCGCGAGACACAGGACACAAGGGTACCCTTGATTTGGCAGGGTCGACCTACTAATCTGGGCTGACGTATACTCAGTGCGCCGTTTCACTTCCGATGGCGAACAGATGCGCAGGTCCAGAGCGTGCGCAGGAGGCCCCCTATACCCTTCTCCAACAGCGCAGGGGCGCGCCTCGTAGTCCCTCGGTGGGTCGTGCAGCGACGTCAGGTGGGTGAAGTAGTGCGATTCCCACAGCGCCTCGGGGCCACGAGTTCTCTCGGTGCTCGCGCAACTCGAGGAGTTCCACCAACCAAAATCCCAGCGCCGAAGGCCTGCCAGCCTCCCGCGGAGGAGGAGGAGGAGGAGGAGGAGGAGGAGGAGGAGGGGGAGGAGGCAGGAGGAGGGCTGACGCTGCCAGCGCGCCATCTCCCATCGCCTCCCCATGGCTGGTCCATGCGAGAGGCCTCCGCCCCCTCGAACCGAGAAGGGGCCCGTGCTTCTAAAATGCGCAGAGAGGAAGACGCACATATACACGCATCGATAGAGCTAGAGATAGAGAAGGACAGAGAAAGAGAGAGGGAGAGGGAAACAGGAAGAGAGAGAGAGAGAGAGCAAAACAAACGGTGTTCAGGGCTGGGGACCCAGACTACCTGCCGATCTTGCGGCCTCCTGGACCTAGCAAAGCTCTGCTGTAGAACCCACGCCACGCTCGGGCTCCAACCCTGCGTACCCCTGCCCTCCGCGCTACTTCTTATTGAGGAGGCAAAGGAGCACCGATCCCGCTGCTCCCCGTACCTCTCCAGGGGTGTGTGCTGACCAAGAAGTTCGAGGATACGTCTGCCGTGGCGACGAGAGCTCTCCAGCCTTCGTCTTCCTCTGGACATACTCCGCCCCCGCCTCCACGTATGGTGTTCCAACCTACTTGAACCTTGACCACCAGAAAGAATTTCGAGCACCAAGACAGTACCGAAATGGGAAGTGTTTCACATGTCGGGCCCTGGCAGGCGATACTCGTTCGACACTGCTTCGATACTGTTCGGGGTGCTCGAAATCATGTCTGGGGTGTGGTCCTTAAGAACGATGGGGGCAGCATAAATCTCCACGTCCACTCCATTGCTCCTACGCCTCCCCACGGAGCCCGCGCCACGCGAGAGAGCACGGGGACTCCTCCGTGCCCAAGTTAGACTCCGCCAGCCCTCGGCCACCTGCCAGGGGCTACTCGGGGCGCCAGCAGAGGGGTGTGCTCCGCAGATCCTGCCTCGGTGACCTCCGAGCCGGCCGCGCGCCTGCCGAACGCGCGAGGGGATCCTGCTGCAGGGGGGGGGGCATCCCAGAAGTCTCTGGGGGAAGGCCGCGTGGGGCCCTCCTCGGCCTCGGGACCCCCTCTTCTGGAGTGGACCAGGCGAGGCAGGGAGCGCAAGGATCTGCGAGAGAGCTCCCAGCAGCCAAGCCACGCCATCAGTCGGGCGCGGCAGCTGGCCCCGTCCGAGGCTCTCTGTGTGTTGGCCTTCGGCCGCAGATGGAGCGCAGGTCCGCAGATGTCGCTCGGGGACTGTCGCCGCCTGGTCGCGGTCTGCTTGCCGCGAGCACGTCGCATGGAAGTTTGGCCCCCCAGCTGGGAGCTCGAAGGAAACCCACGGCGAGCCTGGCAGAGCAGATGGAAGCAACACTCACACCTGGTTGTAACCCGTTCCATTAAGCGCTGGGACGACGAGCGGAACGGATCAGGCCGCATCCCGTGGGGAGAGAACCTGCCAGATCGTCCACAGCTCGCGGCTCTCCCGGCACGGGCGGCTCACAACGGCGAGCGAAGGCCCAAGACCTGTGGCTGCTGCCAACCCGCACCCCATCCTGGCCTGGCCCAAGCAGGGGCGGGAGAGGAGGGCACGCGGGCGCAAGCCCCCCTGGCAGCCCGGACGCGAGCCAGACGAGCGGGACGCCGACGGCGACGGCCAGCGCCAGCGCGCCCGAGGACGCGTGTAGGGCTCCCGAGGCCACGGCGGCGGCGGCCCCATGGTCGGAAGGGCTGCTCCGCGTGGTAGGAGAAAAACACGAGCCACTGCAGAAGCCCGCCGCGGGGCCCGTCACGGCGAACGGAATCGGCGGTGAAGCAGAACAAACGGCCACCAGGGGCCCTACAGGCAGATCTTGGACGAAGAATTCAACATGCCCCACAGATGCTCAAACATAGTCAACAAATGTAATCGAAAGATCGCCCCCAAACTATTTTTAACAATTTTGTATTTTCCTCCTATAGAGAGACATGCCCGACTTAGATCTAACCGCGACGACCGGAATCGGCAGCGAACATCGGCAGGCGGCCGCGCGGAGCTGGTTGGGGCTTGCCGTGGCGAAGCAAAACGCCGGCGAGCCATGGCAGCTCTACCAGAAAACGGGTGGGAACCCCGCGTGCAAGCAGGGCTTCTGGAATGATCAGGCCACTGCCCTGGCCTTCTCCGCACCAACAGAACTCGCAGGCCAGAGAGTCGAAGCGCTACAAGCATACAGCATACAGCGCGAGAGACGACCCTGCACCTCATAAATCACAACGCGAACTGGATGTTCAAGAGAGTGCACCCTCAATATTTAGCTAAATGGCTTCGGGCTATCTGACTGTTTTGGGGTTTCGCCTCCACGACTACACGGTTGCTAGGTTGTACGAAGCGCGTGCAGTACCGAACCCTCACTGTGGTTTCAAAGGGCGAGAGTGGCAGAAATGAGCTCTGGCTAGAAAAACTAAGAATTGAAAAAGATTCGAATCCATCGGTTTCGCTACCAATGCAAACTGAGAAAAACTGCCCAGACCAAAAAGCACTTCCCGCGCCCATTCCAAAAGACCTCTCGGCTGAAAGCCTTACCTGGGAGCCAGTACCCCCTTTAGCAAATGCACCCGTGTCCCCAGAACAGAACACGTTGATCGGGCTAACGGGCTGAGAAACAGAGTCCCTTCACATTGAACACCGCGCAGGCATTGCACGATTCAGACGACAAATTGTACGTGCTATTTCTCGTACAAAAGTATGTGCGCAATGATGGCTCAACATACATGCCACTGTGTCGTAGGGACTGTGGGGTGTCCTCAGGTCCCTTCGAGTTCTCTGGATTTGAGATTGCGAACACTCGTTTGAACTCACGGAGTTCCAAAGCGGTTATGAAATTATGAGGCTTCCCGCGTGACTGGTCCCGAGGCCTTGGGGGCGTGGCTGGGGGTCCATATTTTCCACGCGCCCTAACATGTCTAACATGTCCGCAAGGATCTGTCATGTGGCAGTCTTGGGGACCTCTAAAATACTTGTATGATGTCCAAACACGACCCACAGAGGGGGAACTCCGACTGCCACTCAGAGCCCCCAACCCACAGGGGCCCCAGAGACAGCCAGCAGGCCCCCAAGAGGCCCACGGAGGTCCCATACAAGCGTCAAAGAGGCTCCCAAGGCGTCCACAAGCGGCCCCCCAGACGCGTCCAAGAGGTCCGGAAAAAGCCTCCCACAAAACTCCGTGAGGCCTCTTGTCCACGGCCCGGGCACTGTGGTGAGAAGGGCCGAAGGCCACCAGACTGCTGCACAAAGCGTGCCAAACCTGCTCCAAAATTATATCAGAATGGTCCCGAGGCTTGCGCCTCGGAAGTGCCAACGCGTATGGATTACAACGCCTACGTTCGTTATGGTTATGGAAGTCTACCTTAGTCAAGATGTTGGCGGATTAGGGGTACATGGCGGTATAACTATATATATATATATATATATATAAACACAAAAAAAACAAGCAAAAAAAACTAAACACACACACACAACAAAAAACAACAAAAACGAAAAAAAAACACGAAAATACTTGGTTAAAGAAAAAACAAACAATACAAAACAAAAAACAAAGAGAGAAGAAAAAAAACACAAACATAAAAAAAACGGCAGATAGTGGCAATCGATTCACTGTAAACACTCCACATGTATATTGCTACCAATGGCTCGGTTGTCCTGCCTGATGGTGGTCCTATCAAAGCCGTTCGAGAAGCGGTCTACTTGGGAAGGATGATCAAGTGCGATGGTAAAGCAACTCCTGAAATCATCCGTCGCCTGGGGGAAAGCGCGTGGCATCTTCAAAAAAGTGGCCAAGATATGATCTTACACCGCGGCTGGACGGAAGCCAAAATGCAAATCAAACGCGGACGTCATGGGCAGAACTGGCGCCAAACCTCGTTCCCAGATTCCGCCAGGAAGGCAAGAAGGGTTGTATATAAAAGTTGCAGCGAACGGTGTTGCATCCTTGGTACGCAAAAGCTTATGGAATCTTGATGGTACTCCTAAGAACTGAGTGGTGCACTGGAGGCGCGGCCGACCCGGGCAGCAGTGGGCGATCGAAGCGTGCAAGACAGCGCAGCACATCTGAGGTCTTTCTGTTTTGTCCTCCACTTCCTGTCCCTCCTCTGCCCCGGCACCCTGCGCTGATAGCTGCGGCGCGCGTGCGCCATGGACATTACAAGCAAGTGTTCGTTCTGCTGATGCATGCTCTCTGTCGTCATACCCGGATGTCATGCACTGTTTGAGGTGCCCATCGTATTACCGTCACCAAGAGGCCCACCCCAAGACGGCCCAAGAGGCCTCCAATAGGGCCCCAAGACGGCACCCCAAGACGGCCCAAGAGGCGCCCAAGACGGCCCAAGAGGGCCCCAAGACGGCCCCAAAGAGGGCTTAAGAGAGGGAGCACGAACCGAAAATTCAAGCCTTCCGCCCCAAGAAGCCCCAGGAGGCCCCCAAGAGACCCAAAAGAGACCCCAAGAGGCCCCAAAATGGCCCCCAAGAATAGGGAACCGAACTCCATACACGGTCCATACACCGACGCTTTTCCTGGCCCTGCACTGAAATTTACACAGGAAAACGGGTCCGTATACGTGTGTCGTTGTTTCCCCGGGTAACGGATTAAAAAATATGCACCACACCACCCCGACGTCGTTCCAGACCCTCTAGCCCTGGGATTGAAAAACAGCGCGCAACTGGTAATGTACATGTCACAGTTTCCGACAAGAGGCCTTGAAACTGCCTCTAACAGGCCCCCGAGAAGCCTCCCACGAGATCCCAACGAACATCCAATAAGCTCCATGCCCACAACCCAGGCACGGGTGATGGGCAAAAGGCCAGAAGATACACAACTTCTGTATCACTATGAAACACGATCTGGCTAGTGAATACAATGTGAGAGCCCGTTTTACCAAACGATCTGAATCCTGTCAAGCAAGGTCTACAAACGCCCCTTGGAATATGCCAGTTTGGACACGACACACACACACACACACACACACTTTCAGGTAGCCGCCTTCAACACACCGCGACCATGCGACCACCAGCAAATTACTCCGACGGAAGAACCCCACATAAGAATCCTCTGGGCGAATCTGGAAAAAGCCATCACCGTCGTCCTCGTGGTTGGTGAGGCGTCCTGGCTGTCTCTTCTGCGTATATTTCCTCTCGCCTTGGCGCGGGCCCCCCTTCCACTCCTTACGTTGTCCCCATCCTCGCCCCCCTGTTTGTTCCGCGCCCCGCCACCTCCTCCCCTTCCTGTTGCATGAGCGCGCATGTCGATGTTCCTCGGCGCCGTCGCCGCCACGGCCAGCACAGGCGCGTTCTCTACTGGTCACGTCGCGCAGCCGTTGGGACAACCCCGCGGGCCAGGCTGTCGGGACAACCCCGCGAGCCGCTGGCGCGCAAGACCAAGCCGTTGGGACAACCCCGCGGGCTTCGAGCGAGGCGCAGCCGCGCTCAGGCGGAAGGCAGCACGAAGCCCAGCTCTGCCGCGAGCTGCTTCGCCTCCGCCCTGGACAAAACCGTTCTCTTGTCGAACTCCAGGAGCGCCTTCCGCAGGGACGCCGGCGGCCCGCACTCCAGGAACTCTCGCGGCGGCGGCCGCAGGATCAGCATGTTCCGCATGCACGTGGCGCGGGAGAACATGACGTAGAGGTGCAGCCACCACTGCTCGTCCGACATGCCCGTGCGGCCAGCGTCCTCGTCTCTCGCGCAGTCGATGGTGACGCCCTTGCGCAGCGTCTGGCCCTGCGACAGCGTGGAGGTCAGGTAGGACGCGTGCGTCAGGGTGAACCCCGAGCGGCGCACGCTGTGCGCCCCCGAGCTCTGCCATGTGAACTCCCTTTCGCTGGGCCTGAACATCAGCAAGCTCCGCGCCCGCGCCTCGGCCTGGCCGTCGTCGTCGGCGCCTTCGGCGCCCTGTCGCAGCACCTCGGCGACCTGAGGAGCCCAAAAACTTCCTTGTTGCATCCAAAGTGTGGCCTGGGAACTGCGTTCTGGCAGCGCGAGAACCCAACATTGACGACAGTTACAGGTTTTGGATGACCTGCTCGGATTACCAACATGATCTGCGGGCCCCATAGGGAGGGGGCTCCCGCCTGAGACTTCCTCGCAGTTCACTCACAGACGAGGCTCCCGCCTGAGACTTCCTCCATATTCAGGCTTGAGGAGCCCAAAAGTGACGACAGTTACAGGGTTCCGATGACCCGCTCGGATTACCAACATGATCTGCGGGCCCCATAGGGAGGGGGCTCCCGCCTGAGACTTCTTCACAATTCACTCAAAGACGAGGCTCCCGCCAGAGACTTCCTCCAAATTCAGGCTTGACGAGCCCAAAAGTGACGACAGTTACAGGGTTCCGATGACCCGCTCGGATTACCAACATGATCTGCGGGCCCCATAGGGAGGGAGCTCCCGCCTGAGACTTCCTCCCAATTCACTCACAGACGAGGCTCCCGCCTGAGACTTCCTCCATATTCAGGCTTGAGGAGCCCAAAAGTGACGACAGTTACAGGGTTCCGATGACCCGCTCGGATTACCAACATGATCTGCGGGCCCCATAGGGAGGGGGCTCCCGCCTGAGACTTCTTCACAATTCACTCAAAGACGAGGCTCCCGCCAGAGACTTCCTCCAAATTCAGGCTTGACGAGCCCAAAAGTGACGACAGTTACAGGGTTCCGATGACCCGCTCGGATTACCAACATGATCTGCGGGCCCCATAGGGAGGGGGCTCCCGCTTGAGCCTTCCTCAGAATTCACTCACAGACGAGGCTCCCGCCTGAGACTTCCTCCATATTCAGGCTTGAGGAGCCCAAAAGTGACGACAGTTACAGGGTTCCGATGACCCGCTCGGATTACCAACATAATCTGCGGGCCCCATAGGGAGGGAGCTCCCGCCTGAGACTTCCTCCCAATTCACTCACAGACGAGGCTCCCGCCTGAGACTTCCTCCATTTTCAGGCCTGGGGAGCCCAAAAGTGACGACAGTTACAGGGTTCCGATGACCCGCTCGGATTACCAACATGATCTGCGGGCCCCATAGGGAGGGGGCTCCCGCCTGAGACTTCCTCACACTTTACTCAACGATGATGAGGATGAGGATGATGAGTGGTGGTGAAGATGAGTGGTGAAGAGGATGATGATTGATTGTGGGTGGTGGTGGCGATGATGATGTTTGAATGAGGATGATGCCGATACCGATGATGACGATGATGTTCGTGAGCGTGTGAGAGAGTGCGAGTGATGATGATGTGTGTGTGAATGAGTGCGAGGAGAAGAGGGGGTGATGATGACTGAGCGTGTGAGAGAGCGCGAGTGATGAGGCTGATGTTGATGATGAGAGAGTGTGAGTGAGTGTGAGTGTGAGCGAGTGGTGATGATGATGAGTGAGTGAGTGAGTGTGCGAAGGCAGAAGCGGAGAGGGGGTGGGGTGAGTGTTCCTGCGCGGGGTGTGCAGAGAAAACAAGAACCCCACTTTGGATGTGGGGAAAAAGAACTAGAGAAAAGTCGGGCGGCCATTCGAAAGGGTTGCACGAACTTCAACCCTGGAGCCAGGGGTCAGCTTCGTTCCTCGTTGTCCTCCTCGCTGCAAGTCGCTCAAGTTTGATCACTGGTGGTTGATCAGCGGCACTCGCTGTGCTTCGTTCCAGAGGAAAACCAGGGTCCCCCTCCAGTCGTTTACCTTGGGCTGCTTGTGGAAGTGATGCCCTCTCATCGATCGCGCGTTTCCTTCTTGTCACGCTCTGCTGCTTGCGCCTGTGCATCCGCCATTAATTACAGCGGAGGCCAGTCCACAAGAAATCTTACACGTCCATTGATGTTTGGTGTGGGAACGTGACGCTTTCCATAGCAAAACCATCGAAACCCAAGAAACCCAGGGCACCCTGGAGACAAGCAGGGTGCTTCTTGGCATGGGTCTCCACTGTACTGTTCCTGCGGCTTTTCGTCTGGTTTCTTTGTGGCCAGCTGGATTGTCTGACTTCAGGCTTCCAGGCACACGGTGCAAATGCCTTTGCGGCGAAAAAAAACACGCCCACACGTTCTGTCATCGGCATGGAGCCTGTCCCTAAAGTGCTGTAGAATGTAAAAACTCCGTCTCGTGGTGGGTTCGGCTGCTTGGCGGCCGTCCTTCGTTGAGGTTGTGATCACAGCTTCCACTATGGACTGGTACGCTCAATGTTCGTGATGATGTCCGCGTTTGTTTGAAACACGCCTTTTCTGGGAGCCGCAAATGCCCATGTACAGTTTACCACGATCACCGTTGATCACGGTTCACGGGTCACTGTCACCATTGACGCACACAAATGCCCATGATGTACGGTTCACGGTCACCGTTGATCACCCTTTCGCAGCCAAGTGCCGCTTACGTCCGCATCTACATGCTCATCAGAAAACTTCTCCTCCTCCCACTCGTCCTCCTCGAACGTACCGTGTCCCTCGTCACCCTTCCTCGGGCGCTGCGGTGTGACGCCAGTCCGCCGGGAGAGCCCTGGAACTTCTCCTGGCAGCCCGCGGGGTTGTCGTGACACTGCTCGCACTCCTGGGGCCCGGGCGCGGGGAAAGCGCGCGCCAGGCGGGGGCGCAGGGCCGGGGGAGGCGGGCCCCTCTGCCACATGTTCGGCCATGGGCCCCTTTTTGACCCGTGGGCCTTCCGCAGTTTTTTCGGCGGTCGTCGGCGGGCTCCCGTGGCCTCTGGCGATCCTCGGGTGTCTGCAGCGTTTTTTGGCGGTCTTCGGCGGTCCCCTGCGCGAAGACCGGCCTGTTGCGGTTATATAACCAAGGGGTCCATGATCGAACACCTGAAGGCTTCTGGGATGGCCCCCCGCCTCTTAGAGGGCGTGGGGCGCACGGCACCCTAGGACGACAATCCCCTCCAGGAGGCGCCCTTTTGTATAGGTTCGCCGCGATATCCTGGAGCCGAGCGTCTGGTTCGGCGAATTGACCTGCCACACTGTTGCCTCGAATCAGCCAAACATTCAGTTCACTTCGGACAACTCGCTTGGACTGATGGGACTCGACCTTGAGACTTTGGCCTTCGAGCCTATACCAGCCCACCAGTCCACCCAGAAGTGACGCCTCGGATCGTTATGCGAGAGGGCAGTCCCTGTATTTTGTGCACACCATACAAAGAGAATACATAGATGATGGTGAAGAAGGAAGACGCCAGAGGAATTCGGGCACGATAAAGACGGGGCCCTGCACCTGCAGGCTGTCACCGCACCGCGAAAGCAGAAACACACGGCGAGTCATCAGGCATCGATGGTCGGGTGCCGAACGAATCCAATTGAAAAGCCAATGGAAGAGCATTACCATGAACAACAGAAAGACGGCCCCAAGAGGGGGCCCAGCCCGAAGGCCCCCCAGGAGGCCCCAAAAGGCTCCCAAAAGGCCCCGTCAATGCTCCCAAGGGACCCCAAGAGGCTCATAAGAGGCCCCCAAGAGGCCCTCAAGAGGCCCCAAAACTGCTCCCAAGATCCCCCCGAGAGCGCCCCGAAGAAGCATCCCTGGGAACTCTGACCGACAACCCAGGCACGGTGGCGGGAAGGGCCGAAGTGCACCAGATCCGCCGCCCCCTGTTGCTTGCAAGAGGGGTGCCTGGCGTGCTAGACTTCTTACGATTTGGTTTCGGTTCTTTTTCCAAAAGAACTCCCCCTGGGGCTTCGGCGCGTCCCGCCGGCTGCCTGCCTCGTCGGCTTTTGCGCTGAAGATGGCCCAAGATGGCCTCCAAGATGCCTCCAAGTTGGCCAAGATGGCCTCCAAGACGGCTAAGGTGGCCTCAAGACGCCTCCAAGACGCCCCAAGATGCACCCAACACGGCCTAAGATAACCTCAAGATGGCCCAAGACAGCCTAAGAGGCCCCCAGGAGGCCTCCAAGACGGCCCAAGACGGCCCAAGAGGTCTCCAAGAGGCCCTCCAGGAGGGCCCGAAGAGGCCAAAATCATTGATTTCCCCTCGGTTCTTGAAAAGGATTTTGGCATTTGCTTCTTCTCGGCATTACGACGGCTCAAGACGGCCCAAGAGGCCCCCAAGATCGCCCCAAGATCGCCCACGAGGCCTCCAAGATGGCCCCATGACGGCCCAAGAGGCCCCCAAGACGGCCCCAAGAGGGCCCCAAGAGGCCTCCAAGACGGCCAAGGTGGCCTCCAAGACGGCTAACATGGCCCCAAGATGCCTCCAAGACGGCCCAGATGCACCCAAGACAGCCTAAGATGGCCTTAAGATGGCCCAAGACTGCCCAAGAGGCCCCCAAGAGGCATCCAGGACGGCCAAAGAGGCCTCCAAGAGGTCCTCCAGGAGAGCCCGAAGAGGCCAAAATATGTATTCGCCGTAGGTTGTGTAAAAAAATGTTGGCATGTGTTTCTTCTCGGCATTCCAACAGCCCAAAACGGCCCAATAGGCCCCCAAGATAGCCCCAAGATCGCCCACGAGGCCTCCAAGATGGCCCCATGACGGCCCAAGAGGCCCCCAAGACGGCCCCAAGAGGGCCCCAAGAGGCCTCCAAGACGGCCAAGGTGGCCTCCAAGACGGCTAACATGGCCCCAAGATGCCTCCAAGACGGCCCAGATGCACCCAAGACAGCCTAAGATGGCCTTAAGATGGCCCAAGACTGCCCAAGAGGCCCCCAAGAGGCATCCAGGACGGCCAAAGAGGCCTCCAAGAGGTCCTCCAGGAGAGCCCGAAGAGGCCAAAATATGTATTTGCCGTAGGTTGTGTAAAAAAATGTTGGCATGTGCTTCTTCTCGGCATTCCAACAGCCCAAAACGGCCCAATAGGCCCCCAAGATAGCCCCAAGATCGCCCGCGAGGCCTCCAAGATGGCCCCATGACGGCCCAAGAGGCCCCCAAGACGGCCCAAGAGGGCCCCAAGAGGCCTCCAAGACGGCCAAGATGGCCTCCAAGACGGCGGGCATGGCCCCAAGATGCCTCCAAGACGGCCCAAGATGCACCCAAGACGGCCTAAGATGGCCTCCAGATGGCCCAAGACTGCCCAAGAGGCCTCCAAGAGGGCCGTCCGGAAGGCCAGAAATGGCAAAAAACATTGATGTGCCCTAGGTGTTCGAAGGAGTTTGACGTTTGCTTCGTTTCTGCCTTCTGACGGCCCGATACGGCCCAAGAGCCCCCAAAGATCGCCCAAGGATCGCCCAAGAGGCCTCCAAGATGGCCCCAGCACGGCCCAAGAGGCCCCCAAGACGGCCCCAAGAGGCCCCCAAGACGGCCCAGGAGGCTTTTAAGACGCCCAAGATGGCCTCCAAGACAGCCCTGGAGCATTCCAAGAGGACCCCAAGTCGACTCAGAGAGGTCCCCCAAACGGCTTCGACGGCGTCTGACGGGCCAGGAGCCAACCGAGACGGCCGAAGATGGCCCTAAGATGGCCCACGACGGCCCAAGAGGCTTCCAAGAGGGCATCCAGGAAGGCCCGAAAAAGGCCAAAATCAGTGAGTTTCCATAAGTGCACGTGCCCCCAAAAATCGCCCAAGAGGCCCGAGACGGCCCCAAGAGGCCCCCAAGACGGCCCAAGAGGCCTCCAAGACAGCTCAAGATGGCCTCCAAGACGGCCCAAGAGCCCTCCAAGACGTCCTCCAAGAAGGCCCGAAAGGGTCAAAATGGCCGTCAGGCCGCCAAGATGACCTTCAAGATGCCTACGTGTTCCACGAAGGCTTTCCAAACCGATTCGGGGAACACATGGTCCGATAGCTTGGCAGGTCTGGCCTCAACGTTCAACCACATAGGCGCTTCCAAAAAGGCAGGGGGCGGCGGTGATTCGCCGTAGGCGTTTTCGATACAACATGCGGTTATCGAAGATGTCATGGTGCCTGGAGCACTGGCAGGGAAGAACTCAAGCAAGGCCAAAACGGCGACGGGCGTCAAGGAGCACAGCACCACGGCCTTGTACTTCCAAGAGCACTTGATTCGCCCTCTTCTGAGTTAGCGCAGAAAAGGTGACGATAACCAAGCTCTCAGCAGCGCACGACACACAATCACGTAAGTTAGGTGGCAGACCATGGGAAGTCTTTCTACTGCATTTAGTGTTGTCTGGTGTCACTGAGTGTAACGTACGTTTCACCTGTGGTTTCGGATTGCCATTAATCCCAGCAAGCGTCCATGTAATTTCGCTAACGTCCGTACCTCAGCGTCACGAATTCTCATTCGTTTCGAATAATGTGCAACATATTCACGACTGTTCAGTCAACGTTACTGGATTGCGCACGTGTACACTACATCATATTATATTGCGGTGCATTACATGTTTTACTGAATGGCCTGAACTTTGCGCGCAAGACATGCTCGGGTAACAAGAAACCACCCATGATCTGCAACCTAACGTAAGTGATATAACATCACACTTGTTGTTCACTGGCGAGCAGCGTGCCAGGAGGAGTCAAATCCGCCGATCCGGCGCGTGAGGTTCAAAAAGCCTCAGCCACAGCCAAAACCTGAGCTTCAGCTCTGCTGGCGGGGGGGGGCCAGGTGGGCTCTGCCGGAGAAGGAGGGGAGGGGGGAGGACGTCCTGTGCTGCGCTTTCCTAGGGGTGCTCGGGCCCTGGGCGAAGCAGGGGCAGTTTCATACGGTTTGCCGGAGCCGTTTTGGAAAAGGCCCAGGGCCCCCCACAATCGCTCAACGATCGGTGCAAGACGCCTACGATGGCCTCCAGTCGGTCGGAACCGCGTCCACGACGTCCCAAGAGGCCTCCAAAAGCACCCACTCGAGAGCGCCGACAATGAAAAATCGTCAAATTTCCTTATGGAAACACACATTTGTAGCATGTACGCCTTCTCGGCCTTCACGGCGTCCACAAGGGTCCGTGAGGCCACCACGACAGCCAAAGACAACCCATGAGGCCCCCAAGACGGCCAGGCACGGGGTGCATGGTATGACTTGGTAATGCTCGGACACGAGTCGTGGTCGTCGTCGTCGTCGTCGTCGTGTTCATGTTCGTGTTCGTGTTCGTGTTCGTGTTCGTGTTCGTGTTCGTGTTCGTGTTCGTGTTCGTGTTCGTGTTCGTGTTCGTGTTCGTGTTCGTTGTTGTCGTCGTCATCGTCGTCATCGTCGTCGTCAATCGTCGTCGTTACCCCGTTCGTCGGTCGTCGTCGTAACTATCCCGCTCGTCTATCGTTGGTCCTCCGTTGTCCTCGTCACCGTCCATTCCCGATTACATTAGGAGCGCCCCGGATCGGCGGCACTGGCAGGAGGCCACTACAATACAAGCGCAGGCTTGTGCCAACCATGGGCGGTGACGATGGCAATGACGATGGCAATCCGATGCCAACACGATGGCGTGAGGATGGTCAAGGTTGGCAATGACGACGGCAATACGCAGCACTATCCACCCCATCAATCAAAACGCGGACCCCTAAATATGTTACAAGCTGTGTGTGCCGACGCTGCCGACCGCTGTAGTTTCGGCCTCCGCGCTCATCCCCTGGCATGTGGCATCGCACGCACGCACACGAACGCACGCAGAACGACGGCAGTTCTAAACCACGCTCCGTGCACACATACTTACTGTTTTCTCTTCGTAGGAGCTGATGCACTGCAACACCCCAACCATCTCAGCTCCACATCCCTCCGAGCCTCTTCTTCCGCACGAGCTCCCGTGCTCCTTACTGGGCCACTCGTCGACTCCGACATCGCCTTCCAGAGCCTTTCGTGCCCTTGCCGGGCTGTGCGGACGGAGCTCTCCCCGACGAGTCCAAGGCGACGCCTCGATCCTGCACTCCGCACGCGCCCCTGCGGCGCGCTGTCGCGGCAGACGGGCGCGCGATGTCGGGGGCGGCGGCGGCCCCGGCCCTTGATCACGTCTTGGTCGGCGGCGTCTGGGATCCGAGCTGCGGGCGGGCTACGCTGGGGCAGAGGCGGAGCTAATTGCGGCACTGGGGACGCGGGGAGGAGGAGGAGGAGGAGGAGGAGGAGGAGGAGGAGGAGGAGGAGGAGGGAGGAAGAAAGGAGAGGGGAGAGGAGAGGGAGGGGAGGGAGGAGGAGGGAGAGGGAGGAGGAGAGGGAGGAGGAGGGAGGGAGGAGGAGGGAGGGAGGGAGGGAGGAGGGAGGGAGGGAGGAGGAGGAGGGAGGAGAGAGGGGGGAGGAGGGAGGAGGGAGGAGGGAGGGAGGAGAAGGGGGGAGGAGGGAGGGAGGAGGGAGGAGGGAGGAGGGAGGAGGGGGGAGGGGGAATAGGGAGGACCAGAGGAGAGCAAGAAGAGAGAGACCCGCGCGCGGCGGGCGGGCCCCGTCCTGGTTCACGCAGTAGTGGAACTTGACCTCGGCGGCGCGGGGCGTGGCGGGGAGTGGCCCAGGCGCGGTCGGGAAGCACGGGGCTTGCGGGGCCGTGCACGCAGGCAGGGGGCGAGGGCGTCGAGGGCGGGGAGGCCGAGGAAGTGCCTCTGGTGGGCGCGGAGCGGCCTGTTTCGAAGGCGCAGCTGCCGATGGGGCCCCGAGACAGAGCGTCCCGCTCCGGCACCCCGTGTTCCTCTTCCTCCTCGTCTGCCAGGCTCGCCTCCTTGTCCCGTCCCTACCGCTCCCTTTCCTGGGGGATCAGACAAGCGCCGATGCCGCTACTCGCCGGACATAGCCTGGGGCGCGTTCTGACCAGGAGTTCGAAGGGACTCCAGCCGTGGTGAAGAGGGCTCTCCAGGACGAGCAGCAGTATCAGTATCTGTTCCTCCTCGACGTCCTGCCCACTCCTCTTCCATCCTATTCCCTCATACACATAAGTCTCCCTGTCGCAGCCCCAAGCGTTTCAGCAGGGCGGATCGGACGGTTCGCCTGATGTTTCCTCACCACGTATGAACCTGAAGCTCGAACATGGCAACAGTTTCCAGGATGGAAGGCGGGTCGTTTTCAAAATGCGGTTATTGCTTTAGCGCTCGCGCATTCGTTCTAAAACTTTGCAGCACGTTCAGGGATGGAGGGCGACTGGCTATCAAAATGTGATTACCACTCTGAGCCGCGCACATTCGCGCGAAGGTCTGCAACGATGGAGGGCGCGTCCTCTTCAAAATGAAGTACTCGCCTCTGCGCCGCACACCGTCGCCTTGAAACTCTGCAACGCTCTCGAGGCTGAGGAGCGACTCCTTCTCGAAACGAAGTTCTCGCCTTAGCACTGCGCACTCTCGTCCTAACACTTTACAACACTGCGGAAGATTCTTCGCAAGGTCGAAGTCCCACGAATGGGTAGGACTGTCAGGACGCAACAGTCACATACATCCGCGGACTTGAGGTCCCAGGAAATGCGCTCCGGTACGATTTATGACTGTCGGGACGTAACAGTCACGTTGATTTGCCCCGTTCAGGTCCCAAGAATTGTGTGTTGTCACGATTCGGAATTCTCACACGGTTGTCTTTCAATGGAAAACTCCCCGCAATGACATTTACAAACTTGCAGGGGCATAAGAAAAGGGAACTTGGAGGGAGGGTGTATTGTAAAAGCGTTGATGCGTCTTGGTTTTACGCCGGTCCTCCTCTTATCCTCCGCCTCCTCATCATCAGCTGTCATCATCATCGTCAGCATCATCATCGTCATCAGCGTCGCCGTCATCATCAGCATCATCAGCATCATCACCATCACCACCATCATCATCAGCATCATCATCATAATCGGCATGGCCATCATAAGCATCAGCATCATCATCGTAATCATAAGCCGCATTATTATCAGCACCATCATCCGCGGCAGCAGCTGCAGCAGAAGCAGCATCATCAGCATCATTATCCTCATCATAAGCAGCCGCAGCAGTAGCAGCATCATCATAAGCATCATCACCATCAGAAGCAGCATCATCCTCATCATCACCATCACCATCATCACCATCAGCAGCAGCAGGATCGTCATCACCACCACCACCACCACCACCATCATCATCATCCCTAAGTCCCGCCCTCCCTCCCTCTCTTCCTCCCCTCCGCGCCCTCCCTCCCTCCCTCCCCTCCATCCAGCCCCTCCACTCTCCTGCCCCTCCCTTCCCCCCTCCCTCCCCCCCGCCCCTTCCCTTCCCTGTTCTTCATTTATATTACATTCCCTTCCCTTCCCTCCCCTCCCATCAGCATCATCATCATCAGCATCATCATCATCACCCTCTTCATCGTCAGCATCAACAACATCATCATCAGCATCGTCGTCGTCAGCAACACCATCATCAACATCATCATCGTCATCGTCAGCATCATCGATATCATCTTCAACAGCAGCAGCGTCAGCATCATCAGCGTCGTCATCAGCATCAGCTTCATCAGCATCACCAACACCGTCATCATCAGCAGCAGCATCATTACCATCATCGTGGTCATCATCGGCATCAGCATCAGCATCGGCATCGTCATACTCACTATCATCATCAGCAGCATCAGCATATGAATCATCAACATCAGAATCAGCATCAACAGTATCGTCATCGCCATCATCATCAGTATCGTCATCATCAGATTCAACATCATCAACATCACCAGCATCATCAGCATCAGCATCACCAGCCTCACAATCATCATCGTCATCGTCACCATCATCACCCTTATCTTCACCATCAGCATCAGCATCATCAGCATCCTCATCATCGTCCTCACCCTCATCATCATCGTCATCCTCCTCATCCTCATCCTCATCCGCATCCCCATCCTCATCCTCATCGCTCATCTTCATCATCAGCCTTCGCCCCTTCCTCCTCCTCCTCCTCATCCTCCTCCTCCTCCTCCGCCTCCGCCTCCGCCTCCGCCTCCGCATCCGCCTCCGCCTCCGCCTCTGCCTCCTCCTCCTTCTCCTCCTCTCTCTCCTCCACCTCCTCCTCCTCTTCCTCCTCGCCCCCCTCCTCCTCCCCCCCCACCCTCCTCCCCCTCCGCCCCCTCCTCAACCTCCTCCTCCTCCTCCTCCTCCTCCTCCTCCTCCTCCTTTTCCTCCCCTCCTCCTCCTCCCTCCTCCCTCCTCTCCCCTCCCTCCCCCTCCTCCTCCTCCCTCCTCCTCCTCCTCCTCCTCCTCCTCCTCCTCCCTCCTCCTCCTCCTCCTGCGGCGGCCGCGTCCGCCGCGCGCCGGAAGCACATTGATCGGGGGCCGGCGCAAGCCCCCAGCCCCAGGACAAGCCCGCCGCTCAGCGACGAGCCAGCCCCGGAGCAGAGGGGGCGCGCCGACCAGGGCCTCTACCTCGCATACAC